AGGGGGTAGGAGGGTTTAGGGGTTAGGGTTTAGGGTTTAGGGTTTAGGGTTTAGGGTTTAGGGTTTAGGGTTTTGTGCCTGCTGCAGGCGGACCCTCTACAAGCCCCATTGCGTTTCCCTTCGGTACTCCCCCCGTAGCAGCTGCTGGAAGTAACACCCAGCAGCAGCAGCAGCAGCAGCAGCAGCAGCAGCAGCAGCAGCAGCCTGGGTTGGCTGCTCCGCTGGCCCCTCCCCCCTTCCCTTCTTTCTTGCGCTGAGGTGTATGTACACCTGAACTGTCTCTTCTTGCATTGTTGCAGCAAGTGCATCAGCTCCTTATAAGGTTTTGAATTTAGGGCTTGAGGGTTTAGGGTTTAGGGTTTAGGGTTTTGCATAGTTATTAATTGCTGCGCCTCTGATACGAAGAGGAGACAAATTTAAAGAGGAGACAAGCAGCATCAAGCTGCTGCTCTTACAGCAGCAGCAGCAGCAACAACAACAACAGCAGCGGCAGCAGCAGATATTCATTTGTTCTGCTGCCGCGCCTTTCACTGTTACTAATTGTTCATCTGCAGCAACAGCAGCAGCAGCTGCTGCTGCTGCTGCAGCAACCGCAGCAGCAGCTGCTGCTGCGGTTGCTGCTGCAAGTGCAACTATTTGCTGCTTTTTCCTCGCCTTCTCCACAGCGAGTGCTTCAGCTTCTCTTAAGGCTCTTTATTTAGGGGTTTAGGGTTTAGGGTTTAGGGTTTAGGGTTTAGGGTTTAGGTTTTTGTTTTGGGGACCTCAATTCTACTTAAGGAGATGAATGTACAACACCCAAGAAAGCTGCTGCACTTGTAAGCTGCGGGTTGCTGCTGCTGCTGCTGCGGGTACGCCTGCTGCTGCTGCTGCTGTTGCGCTTAGTGCTGTTGCACTGTCTGCAGCAGCAAAGTAGAAGAGACAGGAGACAGGGAGATTAATATTGTTTTTTTTGTTTGTCTTTATAAAGGTCGTGCGGCATACAATCTCCTCAGCAACTGTCTCCAGTTGCTGTCTCCTTCCTGCAGCAGCAGCGGCTGCAGTTTGCTGTTGTTTACTCGTACGTTGCAGTGTATAGGGAGTTTAAATGGTTTACCTCAAAGCCGCTGCAGCAGCAGCAGCAACAACAACAACAAAAACAGCAGCGAGTTGCTGCTCCGCGGGGTGTACAGACAGACAGGAGGCCCCCTATATACATATATATATATATATATGTATATGTATATATATATATATGTATATGTATTATTTAAATAACACAATAATATAATAATAATAACAACATAAAATAATAATATAATAATAACATAAAATAATAAAAATAATAAGTGTGTTTATAATAATAAAATAAAAATAATGTTATATCGCTATGCCTCCTCCCTGCTAGTTAGAACAAGACAGCAAAATAAAGAGACAACAGAGACAGAGTTGAAGGGAGGAGACAAAGAAAGAGTGTATGCGGAGACAGAGACAGAGACAGAGACAGATATAATAAAAATATATTATTATATTTGCTGCTGTGGGGTTGCTGCTAAGCACGCTGCAGCAAGCAGAGCAGCAACTGTCTCTATTTTGTCTCCTTTTAATCTGTCTCTCTTTTATAACCTTAGAATCTGTCTCTGTTCTGCAGCAGCAGCAGCAGCAGCAGCAGCAGCAGCAGCAGCAGACAGCAGCAGAGCTACACCTCCTTTTTGTCTCTATAATAATGGATATAAGCACTGCAAACAAAAGCAAAAAATAATATAATAAATTATGTTTATTATTTATTTATTTATTTTATTTAAGTGTACAGCAGAAAAAACACTAATTAATTTTTTGCTGCTGCTGTCGGTCTCCCTGTAGACAGCAGCAGCAGCTCTATATAATTGTCTCTCTGTGGTTTAGCTTCTCTTATTATTTATTTTATTATTAATAAAATTAATAATAAAAATAAATAAAAAAACATAAAGAAGCAAGGAGACACATTACTTAGAAAAGAAGAGGAGAGACACATCCTGGCTGTATTACGATATCTCCGCTGCTGCTGCTGCTGCTGCTGCTGCTGCTGCTGCTGCTGCTGCTGCTGCATGCCTGTATTGCTAACAGCCGCTGGGGCTCTGGTGTCTGTACACCTGAGCTGGCTGCAGTTTGTTTCTAGTTTGCTTATTAAAATTATCTGCTTTTATTTATCTATTTTCTGCTGCTCCTCCTTTATATACATACACCTCTCTACTCAGCAGCCCTACGCCCACTGGGGTGTACAGCCAGCTGCTGCTGCTGCTGCTGCTGCTGCTGGCAGCAACTAAGATGTATTCTCTGTTTATAAACAACAAGAACGGGAGTCTTGTCTTCCACCGTGTAAGCGCAGCTAGCTCTCTAAGATCTTTTGCTTCAGCAGCAGCAGCAGCAGCAACAGCAACAGCAACAGCAGTAGCAGCACGTGAGCCGCAGCAGCAACAGCAGTAGCAGCAGCAAGAGTAGCAACAGCAGCAGCAGCAGGAGCAGCAGCAGCACTAGCAGCATCATCATCAGCAGCAGCAACACACGAGCAGCAGCAACAGCAGCAGCAGCAGCAGCAGCAGCACCGTTTAATAACTAATAAAGCAGATTATCTGTATGTTATTGTTGCTGCTGCTTCCTGTCTCCAAATTAATTAATTCTCAAGACCTTTCTTTATTAATTTATTTATTTCTTCATTTATATATTTATTTATTTATTTATTTATTTTCAGAGTTTTACTGAAGGCCCCAGCATCAAAGCGAACGACATTATAAGACAAGCATCAACCTTTCATGGGCTGTGCGAGATTGCTGCTCAGCTGTCTCCTCCTGCTGCTCTGCCGAAGAGTGCATTTGCTTTTCTATCTGCTAAAGGCATTACCTGCGTAGAGACACCTCAGTTCAATCTGCAGTGTCTAGAGACTCTCACGGGTATATTACGCATCTATATATGCATGCATGCATGCATGCATGCATGCCTGCCTGCATGCATAGAGTCTCTGCTGCTGCATCTATGCATGCATGCATGCATGCATATAGAGTCTCTGCATGCATGCTCTCTCTGCTGCTGCATTCATATATGCTGTATCTGCTGCTGCATGCATGTATGCTGTCTCTGCTGCTGCTGCATGCATGCAGTCTTATATATATAGGAGATATAAAATATATAATATATAATATATATAATATATATGTTTTTTAATGCTTTTCTATCTTGCATGCAGATACGTGGGTTTCAGCTTAGCATGCAGTATGTATAAAGTAAATAAAATAATAAATATAAATAAATATAAATAAATATAACTAAACAATATATGTTTTGTTTGCATGCGTGTGTATAGGCCTACGCTTTGTTTTAGTCTGCAGCACAACTGTCTCCGCTCAGCAAGCAGGTGTCTGTCTCCTTCGGGTGTATGCAGCATACTGCGACTATGGGTTGAAGAACCCTTTCTATGATATAGACATGCCCTTAAGATGTGCTCTCTTTGAAGCAGAAATAAATAAAATATTTGCGGATTATATCAAGACTTAACTGCAGCAACTGCAGCAACTGCAGCAGAAGAAGAAGCAGCAGCAGAAGAAGAGGCAGCAGCAAAAGAAGCAGCAGCAGAACAGCAGAGATACAGAAACGGGGCTTTAAAAACAACTGCAGCAGCAAATATTAAAGGATAGAAACAGCAACAACAGCAACAACAGCAACACCAGCAACACCAACAGCAGCACCAGCAGCAGCAGCAGCAGCAGCAGCAGCAGCAATGAGTGTGTCTTGGGGCTTTGCATGCGCCGTTGGTGTTCTTGTTTCGGGCGTTGTATTTTTTAGTTATTGCGGTGCTGTCTTTGTTTTTAATGTTGATACATTTCCGCTGTCTCTGCAAGATAAGCAGAGAGCAGCAGCAGGCTGCTTTCTTGCTGCTGCTGCTTATCTGCTTGCTTTGTGTCTCCTCTTTATTTGTACTTCTCGCAGCAAACGAACGCCTGAGGTTTTAAGGTGGAAGTACATTAAACAAAATATTATCGAGACAGCAGCAAGACATCTGGGGGGCCCCCTAACAGCAAGGAGGGTAATAGGCAGCAGCAGCAGCAGCAGCACCGGCAGCAGCAGCAGCAGCAGACAACACCTCGAAATGCATCCACTAGTCAATACACCCCAGGGAGATGCTTGGTGATCTGCTGCGCTCCTGCTACAACTGCCGCAGCAGCAGCAGCAGCAGCAGCAGCAGCCACAACGCGTACAGCAACGGCAGCAGCAAGTAAACCTCCTGCTGATGCTGCAGCACCTCATGCAGTGCATACACCAAAGTACAACAAATGAGAGGCAGCAGCAGCAGCTGTGTGCTTCTGCTGCTGCAGCTGTTGCTGCAGCAGCAGCAGCTGCGAGCGGTCCTGCGCAAGTGTCGTAACAGCAGCAGCGCATTCAGTCGTCTGCAGCAGTTTTTTTGCTGCTGCGGCTGCTGCAGCAACAGCTGCGGTGGCTGCTGCACCTTACTTGGTGCGCTGGGGCAGCAGCAGCTGCAGCAGCAGCAGCTGCTGCATGAGCTTCTTGCTGCATGCGCATGCGTTAATGACTAAATAAAGACAATAAAAGGAGACAGAGGAGACACCTTCTTTTGGTTTATTTAAAGAGGAGTTGGTCGGTGTATCTCTCTGCTGCTGCTGCTGCTGCAGAGCGACTGCTGCTGCTGCAGAGCGGCTGTTGCTGCTGCACTGTACTTTTAGTAATTAAAATGAGGAGGCTAGACAGCAGCATTATGGGTGGCAGCAGCAGCAGCAACAGTAGTAGCTGCAGCAGCAGCAACAATACTAATAGTAGCAGCAGCAGCAACAATACCAGTAGAAGCAGCAGCAGCAGCAGATTAGTTGATTGAGGTGTATAGGCAGCTAATAAGGAGACGCAAGTGCTGATGATGTCTTAAAGAGACAGACAAAGAAAAAGAAATATAACAAAAAGAGACAGAGACAGAGAGGAGGAGACAAATAAATAAAGAAGAGACAGAAAAGAGACAAACAAAAGGAGACAAACAAAAGGAGACAGATAAAGAGACAGATAAAGAGACAGATAAAGAGACAGATAAAGAGACAGATAAAGAGACAGACAAAGAGATATATAAGGAGACAGATACAGAGATAGATAAGGAGACAGAAAAGGAGACAGGAGACAGGTAAGGAGACAGATAGGGGAGGAGACAGATAGAGACAGATAAAGAGACAGCAAAGGATACAAATGAACATAAAACAGACAAAAAGGGACAGACAAAGAGAGAAAGAGAGACAGATGAGGAGAC